CCTAAAAAAAAACCCCCCCCCCCCCCCCCCAGCTTCTTGGTACCCTAAGTCAGTGTCTTGACTGGAATTATCATAAGATTTCTACAGTCTTAGCTACTATTGCATTACAATACACATTTTAAAATTGTGTAGAGGTACACACACGTGTACATTATACTTAGAAGGTGTCAAAGTACTTATTTTTAAAAACAGAGTGCATGAAAAATTCTTCAAGCAGCAAGATCTCAACCAACTAAAGTAACGTGAACATTTAATTTGACATTTGAATGTTCTGATTTTTAAAAATCTTTCCAGCTGATGTAACACTGAATTAAGAAACATGTGTGACATTAGGATCTCAAAATATTACACTGGATGTAATCATAACTGAGAGCAAAGTTAGATTAGATTAGAAATAGAGATGATTCGTGGCTTGCTCCAGAGAAATGCAGAACATTCTAGCACTAACAATGGAAGTGCTTCAGTTGCCCCAAGTCTAGAAACCTTTATATAGCGATTCTGTATTTTACTAGCATAGCATACTCAGCATCATACTTACTGTGGTGCTGGCTGTTGTAGGACCAGGGGTGCCACGACCCTCTTTACAAACAACCTGATTTTGTTCTTCAGGACCACGGGTGACAAGAATTCTGAAGTGCTGCTGCCTCGTGTTTTGATCTGGTCTGATTTTAAACAAACATCCCTGCCCTTGAGGAATCCGCTCTACCGAATTGCTTCTAGACATTTCTGACCCGTTCCTGCCATTTCCATGCAGTTCTGAATTCAATCCATTATCTGTAGGGCTAATTTCTTCTGTTGGCTGCTGGACAGGGTAGGAAGTACTCCTTTCTAGCCGTATCCGGGGATACCTGACCAATCTGTCCCCTTTTGTTCCAGTAAAACCAAAGTTATACTCGCCTCCTGCACCTGTACCACTTGTCTGCGGTTGCTGTAACTGGAGAACAAAGAACTTTTTCCCTGAATTCGCTGACATATCTGGCATGTGTTGCAAAGACCAACGCCGGGGTTCAGGGGTGGGAGCATTATTTTGAGCCTCAGTACCAAAGGGTAGCAGAGTAACCTGAGGCACATCTGCACTTGAAGCCCGATGCTGAATCCTCACACCGCTTATGTTTAAACCTGGAGCTGCTTCATTTGCCTCACCTTCTTGGGTAGTTGATGAAGCATCCTCACTCTGATTATTAGAAGGAATAGTACAAAATATTCTATGATTACAGCAAATAGTTCCGTTAATCTGTTGCCCTAACTCTCCCGTCAGCCTGGGTGGAGAATTTTCAGGAGTCACCTCTGGACTGCTTGGAGAAGAATGGTTTTCAAGAGGGGATACATAATGCTCCCTGAAGTCTGAGAATTTACAAGGAAGCGTCTCCTCAGGAGATTCCAGGGTTGTGCACTCGTCCGCGCAGCCGTTTGCAGCTTTGCGCTGAAGAGAAATCTGCATTGACGAGCTTCTCGTTGGACGCGCATCAATACTGTTCAGCAGCTGGGGAATAAACATGGATGTACTCCTTTTTAAGGAGCCCACTTCTTGCAAATCGCCGCCACCACCATAATCTGCTCCATGTCGAGAGAAAGCATGAGGACTGTTTCTTCTTGGCAAAGTGTGGAATGCCATGAAAAAGTCATCTTCTCTCTCCCGGTCGAGGATCTCTGATTCGGGGGCTGTGTTGCTTCGCCCAGAGCCAAAATGAAACCGCAGCCGATGGGCCATGGTTTTACAGAGAGAAGAAAAGGAGAGGGAGAACAGCAACAATTCAGGCACTGCCAGAAGTTAAAAACCAAAGACATAAACTCCAAGAAAAAGTGTCCCATCTGCCAAACTGTTAGCACTGCAGCCCTGATAGCGACAGATAGCAGAAATAGCCCAAGTGGCAAGCAGCATTCCAGGCATGATTGGGTAAGAGCAATCAGCGCTCCTACACACTGTGACATAGGGTAGGATGGTGGGAGTCACGTGGCCTGGTTCCCCCTCTCCAATGTAAGCTAGTGGGGGTTTTGTTTTTTCTTTTTTTTTTTTTTAATGCCAGCAAGAGCCTGAAACAGCACCTTCACAGCTGCTCCTTTTCCATCAGAGAGGAGCGGCCCCAGCGGGAGAGCTCTCACAGCTGACTAAGGCAGCGAACACACTCGGCACTGCTATAAATCTAAACCACATCATATTCACATGGCACATTTGTGTAAAGCGCGCACACAAAAATTTAACTACAACAAAAATACTTCAATTTAGTGATAAAAGTTTAAGTCAACTCCACATGCAAATGAGAAAAATTATTTCAAGCTTAACATTTTGGTGTGTGTTACAGCATTAGGCTATCATGGCAGAACATGAATAAATATAGCACGGTTATGCTTTCAGTTTTAACTGTGCTAATAACATGATTAAGCAACAAACTTCTCGCCTTTGAAAAGCCACAACTTTTACATTGTCCCTACGATCGCAATATAACCTACACTACCCTGCACAGTCCCTTTTAATAATTAAAAATTACAACAAACAAAGCAATCAAACATATGGCAAAGATTTCTCACACAGTAAAATCAGCAGAAATGTGCAAGATGACAGGAGACAAAGTTTCTTTTTCAGTTTTACCAGGCAGTAAGGACCAGGGAAAACCAGAGACGAGTGTTGCATGTCCTTTTGTACCGATTTGTCTTAAACACCGTACAGAAACTCTGCCTGCCCATTGCTGGCCAGTCTCCAGCGAGAAAGTTAGCAATATTACGACGAGTGTGATTGCCAGCACGGAATACAGTTATGCTCTCCGAGAGCCAAAAGACCTCAGAAGAAGGACAGACAGACAGGATATACCAAAACGTAAAACAAACACCCTAAATCAGCTCTATTACAACACAGAAACTCAGTGGTCTGAGGATACTCACATTTGAAGTGCACTCACAATAGCACTTGTTAGCACATACTAGAAAAGAAACTCTGTTTAGCAAGAAGTGTAGTTTCATTTCAATACACGGACATTTGCTCCCTAGGAGAACTTCAAAGCCCAAGTTTTGTCAACAGCTCTGAAAATTTGTAGGTGGAGGGTCAATACTCTAGATAGACATTTAAACCTCTGTTTGCAAGCAGCTTGTTTTCAAAAGACAGAGAATGACCAATCATGAGAGAAATGGAAGCTTAAAACGATACAACTGCCAGACAGCACAATCCCCTATTGTTTTAAGTAGACTATGAGCCAACAAGAAGAAAAACATGAATAGCTTCTACACAGCAACAGTACTGTAGATTGCCTTGTGGAAGGCACAGGTGTTGATATTATTTTATCTTATTTTTCAGATAAAACATATTATCCAAGGACACAGTGTCTCTTTGCACCAAAGATGAAGCTTGCATCATATATTCTCTATTTTGATTGGGGGATAGAAAGGAAAGGACGTACTGCAAAGACAAAGTTCTTTGAAAATTTGGGAACATGAAGAAGAAACAAAGTTCTTGCAATAAAAACCATGCAAGTATTGACTATATGTATTTCAGAGTAAAACCAAAATAACCAGTTCAATTTCTCCTCATTCTGTAAGCATAACCTCATGGAAATCTGCTACTCTAAAAACCTCCATGTACTTGTTTTGTCAACAGCTCAGAAGACCTTCCAAAAGGAATGCAATGGCTTCTAAACAACAGGTTACTGCCTTTGGAAGGAGGTTATGAGCCCAAGGGCAGACTGTCTACAGAAGTGGGACCACAGGAAGAACAAACAGAAAGAAGTACTGAAACTTACTAGAAGTAAAAGGCCAGTACTGCATACAGAAATGTGAAAATCTTAAGCCATACATCTGACATGCGTATACCAGAACTGTCATTTCTCAGCTGTCACCACGTATAGAATTTTGACCATCACACAGGGACATCCCCACGCATGCCACTGCCCTCTGCAGGACAGCATGACACCTCTCCCACCAGTTGTGCTTTGTCCTCCATGCCAGCACAAATGTACTCCAACCATCCCCCAAGACACACGCAAGCCACGCAGTAATGTCTGCACAGTCCTGAGCCCTGGCTTACATACTCTGCCTCACAGTTACAGGATTTCTGCTTCAGCGTTGTTTGCATCAGCTGGCAATGGAAGAGGGCCTTAAAGCTGGGAAGAACTGACCGACAATCTCCCTTAAGTTCAAAAGGTACAGGACAGTTTTAATAGTGCAAGTGGTCATTATGATCATTATATGTCAAGAAATATGCTCACAGTCAGCCCACTCTAAATAGACACTGTCACAGATTTACCAATTTACTTCCTCCTAAAGGAAGATACAATCATTTGACTATAAGTCCTTTTTTTCCCCAGAAGATTACAGCTTGTATGTTTTCCTTTGCTCTATATTTAATAGGAAGGCAGAGGAAGACATCTTCCATAGTGTGGTGTTTGTTTTTTTTAATAAAAGGATCTTCACAACACTGATCCTAACCTTAGCAAAGTTTAGGTTCAGTAGAGGTTGTACTGCACCCAACCAAGAAAATGTTAATACCTGAACTCATAAACAAAGAGATGGTGTTAAAATTTTCAAAAGACAAAACCCCAAAAGACGTATTCACCCAGTATGCCATTGCACTGGCATATTGTTGGTGGTGCATTTCTTTCCGCCTCTCCGGGCTGATGTACGGACTCGGGAAGGCTCGCTAGCCCTTCGCACAAGCGTGAGGAGCCGGGCAGCGAAGCGACCCTTGGCTGTGCCAGGAACTCTTCCCCAGCTGAGACAGGGAGATCTGCTGTGCGTCTCAAGGACTCCTGCTGCCCGGCGGAGGGAGGCGGGGGACGGGAGGAGAGATAGACACTTCTCACAACAACCTGCAGCCAGTTCTCTCTCCTAACGACCTTGAGACCTTGTTAGTACAGTCCTCCCCCGACAGGCTGGGAGCAGTCCCTATCTGTGTTTGGAGTTCTTCTCAGTCTCGGAGTTTCCCTTATCTGCATGTGAAATGGTACCAGCGCAGCTGGCATCCCAGCAATGTGTTGATGGCAAAAGTCCATCACCTCCCGAACCTACAAGCAGCGGTACTACGGGAGGCCCTTGGAGCTCTCCCGGACCGCAGCGGGCTGGGACCAGCATCTCCCCCTGAGCGGGACGCCTCTCGGAGCTCCCAAACTCTCCTGTTTGTTTGCGAAAATTGGAGGTCTGTCACCGAAAGCCAACACGGCTGGGGCAGATTCTCTCCACTCCTTGAGGCTCGACCCTTCGCCCCTTGAGACAAATGCCAAAGCATTTGAATTGAATATTTTCACTGAACTCAAGGGGAATTTTTAATAGTTATGCCTCTTTTTCTCTCTTTTACTCTCTTTTATTCCCTTTTACTCTCTTACGTGTTTCTCTTAGTGTCTTTATGCATGGATGTGTACTAACTTGAATAGTCTATACTAAGTTATAGCCAGTACATTATAAGATATAATATAAGTGATTACTTTCAAATTTATACTTAAATTACTGTTGTGATTTTTATTCAACTGTGAATGGATTTTAGGCTGCTACTATACTCATAATCCCTTTAGATTTAAACTGTTGACCAAGTCTGGGACTAGGAGTCGATCCAGCCGCACCTAGACTCCGACAGGAGTTTAGAAAGCAAGGGGGTCTTCTCTGAACCTTGTGACTCAACGGGAGGGTCTTCCTTACCCTCTCCACATTCCCTTTTACCCCATTATGTTTTTGGTCTCTATATACATCAGTTTAGTTTGATTCTGATTTAATTTTCCTGTGTGCATGTTATCTATGTACTAAGTAATAGAGTGAACCTTGCCATTGAATTCTGTGAAGTGGCACTTTTATACAAATTTCTATAAAATCATTTTTCTATCGCTAATACAATTGGAGGTGATTCTTTAATCGATCCAAACTTCTCTCTCATTTTTAAATTCCCCCCGCAACACATATGTAACCTAATATGTTCAGAATAAGTGTCAGTTATTGTATGTATGTCTCTGAAAACCTTATCTACTTAATCCTAACAAAAACAAGCAGCAGTAAGATGTTGGAAGACTTCTCTAGAAAAGTTACTGCATCAGACAAATTAAGTTCAAGACTAAAAACACTAACAATATGCTGGGCTTTATGAGGCAGAGAACTGAAAACATAACAGAGAGCATTATTTTGCCATTACCCTAAACATTCATATGCCCACATGTTGAGTACAAGGTACAACTTTGGTAACCACATCCCAAAAAAGGATGCAGAAGTATTGAAAGGTAAAGAAAGAGACACTAAAATGATCAGGGGGTGAAGCAGTTACTGAGTGACTAAAAAGGTTGGGACTTTATTGGTTTGCAGCAGAGAAGCCTAAGGAAGAATACAATGAGGTTTTCACGTCAAAATACTGGGTTAAGGAGGACCATTTTGGTCTGACCCAGCAGGGTACTACTATTGAATTTAGTGCTCTGAATATTAGTCCCCAAACCAGATGCTTTTTATGCTTCTAACTGCATTTCTTAGCACACTTACTTGAACAACAGACAAAAATACACCTTTAAGATTAGTGCTATATTTTCATCAGCTGTGATACACAGAGCCTTGTGATTAGTAAAACACAATGAAGACAAGCACTCACCAATCTGTTTTCATCAAACACTTCAAACAGGAGACGATGATTGGTTGGGTT